GGCCTTGGCGAGTCGTCACGGGGTGAAGGTTCGGGGACGTCGGTCCGGGGGTCCCCCAGGGTTCTTTCCCTGTGGCGTCTCTCAGCCAGTCCCTTGCTTGCGAGTGAAACAAGGATTTGGGGTAACAGTTTGCGGACGGGTGGCCACAAGGCCTGAAGTTGGGGTGAGGGTCGCATGCGGGCGGGGCTGGTAGGTTCGGTTCCTGCCACAGGCGGCCACCCCCACACCAGTTGCGGGGGCAGGCGGGTTATCCAGGCCCACTGCTCAGGAGTGTCTGAGTGGCCTCCCAGGGGTCCTCCGAGGCGGGGCCTTGGCCCTCCTGGCCGCTGACCCTCATCTCCTGGGGTCACCGTGGACTCCCAGACCCGGCGTGGTGTGTGTGAGATTGTGCGTGTGATTGTGTGGTCACACACGTGGGACTGCATCTGACTGGGTGATTGATTGTATGTGGTTTGTGTCTAGCGTGTGACTGCGTGTGTGCTGGCACTGTGAGGTCGTGTAGGATTTTGCGTGGTGTGCAGCCCTCCTGTCCTGCCCAACAAGGAGTCAGGTGTTGCCGCTAACCTGCCCCTGGTGTGGGACTGGGGCGGGCGGACCCGCAGCCCATCCTTGATGAGACCCACGCGATGTTCTAGGCACACTTGGCATGATTCTGAATGTTTGAGGTGTCAAGCGCGGAGCTCCGGGCGTCTTCAGACAGAGGGGAGCCGGGTGGCCTGTCACTAGGGCTGGGCACCAGACTTGGCACAGGCTGTGAGGAGAAAGTTCTGCTCCTGGTACCATGGCCGTCGGTGGCCAGGTGGAAGCCCCGGAGGGACCCAGGGACGCAGAGACTGGACGCTCCCCAGCCGCCACCGTGCAGTAAGTGTGTCCACCCTGGAGAAGGAGGTGGGAGCGGAAGCGGTGGATGGGAAGTTCTGGGCGTCTGTTCCCATCTGTGCAGTAAAAGGAGAGAAAAACTGGTGGGGAGATGAGAGAGCATGTGGGTCTGGCTGCGGGTGACTCTTACTGAGCCATGTGGCCAGCACATGGGGAGCTGGGGCCTGGATGCTGACCCCCGTCCCTTCGACTGCTTGCCAACTGTCTTCATGCTCTAGGGCAGCAAGGTTTAGAGCCCCTGGTCCCCATCCTGGTGGCTCACCTGCCTTACCTGGACATCGGGGTCCTGGGGCAGCCATGCCCATTTCGTGATGGAGAACCACCATTAAGGTGGGGGAAGGTCCTGAATCTAAGAACTCAGTGTGTGTGTGTAAGAGGGAGGAGGAGGTGAGGGGGAGGGAGACAGAGACACAGAGAGAGATGGACAGAAACAGAGACAGAGAGACAAAGGTAGAGAGAGAAAGAGGGAGAGAGACAGAGACACAGAGAGAGGGCATAGCCTCCCCGGGCTGGCGGTGCCGGCCCCTCCCGGGGCCATGGCGGAGGGCTAAATTAACTAGCAGGTGTGAGCCGCACACGGGGGACGGCAGGGGATGGCAGGCGTGGCTGCCGCTCTCCCGGCTGCCGCTCTCCCATCCTGTGAAAGTGGGAAAGGGGACACGACTCTTGCCAGCTACTTGTTTTAACACACGTGGCTCTAAAATTGAGGCAGAGGAGAACCTGTTCTGGGTCCTTGGCTCATATCTGCACCAGGCTTTGTTGTTTTTCCCGCTTTTCCCTTGTTATTTAAGAAAAATGATTTCAGAATAATTTTCATCACAAAGATGGTACAGAGGACCCCGCACACCCTTCACCCAGTGTTAAAATCTCGTGTAATCACAGCGCAGTGACCAAGACCAAGAAATTAATGCTGAAATAGACATGAACACTCTCAGCCGACTTTTCCTGGATCCCCACTAGTGTCCTTTTTCTGTTCTGGGATCCAATCTGTGATTTCCTCCGCTGTGCTTAGAACCTGTATTACTTTTATGTTTTAATTAGGTTTATTTATCAATTTATTGAGATGGAGGTACTGGGGATTGGACCCAAGACCGCGTGCATAGCCAGCACCTGCTCCCCCACCCAGCACCTGTATGAATTTTAATTATGCAAGTCGTGAGCTGATGGACGTTCCTGTTTTTTTTAATCTACACGTCTTCATCAGTCTTCCTGGGTATCATCCATGTTTATCCGCGTCACGCTCAATGCTCCCCCACCGCCACCCCCAGGAGTTTTGACCCCTTTCCCCCCATGCACGTTAAAAAGCTACAAAAACACGAGATAG